TTTTTTAGTGCAGAGAGTAAGTCACCATTGAAAGGGTTTATTTAACCTTAAAGTACACACTGTCCTCCACTGATCTGTCAGTGGAGTAATCGAAGAGTAAAAATAAGACCTCACCTCCTATGTTGTGTATCGAGATTATCACAGCAGCAACCACTTTGCCACCGTGGCCAAATGCCCTGAGTCCCAGCTGTTCATATGCTCTAATTCCTAGATTTATGAGAGATTGAGAGAGAGAGAAGTATTGAGATGAAAGATGCATGGATTTTTAAAATATTTTCTTCAGAAAAGTGGCGAAGATATCACTAATTATCATGCACAACTCCTGATTGATATCACCATTGGTGTAACCACAAATGAATCTCCCCTCATTGGAGGCCTCACCTAACCTGGCATGTCAAGAAAAAAAGCAACTTTATGGCAATCATGGTGAATAAAGTGCATGGATTTAAAAACCAGAAAACTGCATACTGAGAATCTTGTGTGAAATATATTCTTTATCCTATTTTACAGAAGATGGCTTGGCTGTCACAGCATCATCCAAAGAATCTTGGGAGCTGCAGTTTGGTGAATGAGCCGAGAACGGTCAGCTCGCCTCAAAGAATAATACCCCTAAAAGCAATACTTTCTAGATATTATGTCAGGGTATTTAACACATGTTCAGTGTGTTATACTTTATAAAAAATAAGCCTTCATAGTCTTTCAAATGTGTTTATGCTTATTTATAGCTGCCCCTGAAGAAGGAATTACATACTCCCCAGAAATGTATTTGACATTTTAACACACACAGGCACACTGAGAATGCTGTTTCACTTTTGTCTTAGTTTGCTTTGTAAATTCAGAACATTTGGCCGCTCTCTTTGTTGTATGGACACTTAACCCAAAAAATGTCAGTTTGACAGGCTATGATATTGATTCAAAACCCATTTGGTTCCTCACTCACATTGATACAGGATCACAATAAATATCTGTGTAAACACACCACAAACAACAAGCCACCCTGAGTTTTATTTTAAAATTTTCCTCTCAACTCACAGAAATAACTGCTTAGATTTAAATTCTAAAAATATTTACAGGTTTCCTCTTTGCGGAATTGATTATTCACGAATTCATATAACTCTAGGAATCTCTAAGTCCTCCAGTGCGACTGTATGATCAACTTACAACTGATCTTAGACTGGAGGACCTAGAGCAATGGTTCTCAACCTGTGGGTCTCCAGATGTTTTGGCCTACAACTCCCAACAATCCCAGTTTACGAGGTGTTAGGATTTCTGTGAGTTGAAGGCCAAAACATTTGGGGACCCACAGGTTGAGAAACACTGATCTAGAGACTCTTAAACAGAATACTTCTCTAGACCATTTGCAGGTCCTCCAGTGCAATTCTATGATTGAATGTCAAGTTGACCATGGAGTTGCAGTGAAGGACCTAGATATTCCCAGAGAGGCATTATCTCAGGTAAAAGAAAAATTAATGTTTTTTCAACTTTCATTGTGGTCCTGTATCCCTAGGCCTCAGCAAATGTGGAGGGCTGACTGTACCATCTTGGCCTTTTCATACCCCACTTCTGTTGAAAATGGTCCTGTTGCAGCATACAACTTACCTACAACCCCAGCACATTTCAGCAGCAAATGAATGGAATAAGATGATAGCAATGCAATGCTGATCAAAAGTACCCTGGTAAGAGAAGAAGGACAACAGAGGTCAGACCCAAATTCTGCACTCAGGAAAGACCAAGTTCTAAAACTTCACAAGTCTCAACTTAAGAACCAAACTAAATAGTAACGCCCATGCAGGGCTGGCATGGTGTTTCTTGTGTAGGTAAAAGTCAACTTTGTATCTGCATATGTCTTCTGTGGTGGGAATCAGTGCTGAAGTTGGGATTCCCTTCCTTCATCTCTGCACACTGAAAAAAGCCCCACTTCCAGACTTAGTGGAGAGTTGCTGCAGCCCTTCCACAGCCTTGTTGGCAACATGTGAAATCAGAGAAGCATCTGGATGTCCCTCCTCATAGTCAGATGCTTGTATCATCTGCTGGGACCACTAGAGTACTGCTTCTTAAACTATGGATCCCGATCCCAAATGGGGTCTTCTTAACTCAATGGTGGGGTTTGGCAACAGTACAAGGTTTCTGAATGCCACTTAGTGGCTGATTTATTCATTTGCATGTATTTGTTGTGGGTTGTTTACTGCATACTTTGTGTAAACATTTCTCAAGCCAAAAGGGGTCATGGGTAGACAAGTTTATGCTCAAGAGCAGGCCCCTTCAACCTGTGGCCCTACAGGTGTTTGGGCCTCAGACTCCTGGAACATTAAGCAGCTTGTTCAGCGGTCAGTAATTCGAGGAGCTGAAGTCCAGATCACCTGGAGAGCCACAGGTTGAAGAGGCCTGATCTATAGGACACTCAGCAAATAATTTCATCATTTTGCATCTATCTACAGCAGAGCTGCTGGGTGTTTTGGACTTCAGCTCCAAGAATTCCTGGCCACTGAGCAAGCTAGATAGGGCTTCTGGAAGCTAGGAGGCCCAAAGGTTGTGCTGGCCTAGTCTACAGGAACATAGCCAGATGCTTTCACAACATCTCCCTGCTCTCTGTCAGCCATGGAATAGCCACTGGGAGAGCAATCTGAAGAAGCTTTAGAGTAATCTCAGGGTCAATGAATGATCAGCAGTAGCTTAATTCTGTATGCAGAACTACTAGGCTATGCTCTTCCATACAGGGGATGGGCTAAGCCATGGAGATGGGAATTCACCTGTCAATGAAGTGGTGAATCCACTCAAGATATTCGACTGAATGTTAAATAAGATATCCAGGGGTGTTGTTTTTTTAAAAAAAAACTAAAAATGTCCCAAATGAAATGCAAAGATAAAGAATGGGAGACTATGCCTGGCTTAACAGTAGTATGTGTGAAAAATATCGTGCAGAGTCCTCATGGGCAACAAGATAAACAAGCACCAACAATGTCATGCAGCAGCTTAAAAAGCCAAAGGGATTTTGGCTTGTATAAATAGGAATCTAGTGTCTAGATCCAGGGAAGTCATGCTACTCCTCTATTCTGCCTTGGTCAGACCACACCTGGAATCACACTGTGTCCAATTCTGGGCACCACAGTTGAAGGGAGATGTTGACAAGCTGGGATGTGTCTAGAAGAGGGCGACTAAAATGATCAAAGGTCTGGAGAACAAGCCCTATGAGGAGTGGCTTAAAGAGCTGGTCATGTTTAGTCTGCAGAAGAGAAGGCTGAAAGAAGACATGATAGCCATGTATAAATACGTGAGGGGAAGTCATAGGGAGCAAGCTTGTTTTCTGCTGCCCTGGAGACTAGGACGCAATGGAAAAATGGTTTCAAACTACAGGAAAGGAGATTCCACCTGAACATTAGGAAGAACTTCCTAACTGTGAGAGCTGTTCAGCAGTGGAACTCTCTGCCCTGGAGTGTGGTGGAGGCTCCTTCTGTGGGCACTTTTAAACAGAGGGTGGATGGTCATCTGTCGGGGGTGCTTTGAATGCAATTTTCCTGCTTCTTGGCAGGGTGTTGGACTGGATGGTCCACGGGGTCTCTTCCAACTCTATGATTCTACTGTCAAAACAGAACATAAATGTCCAAAGGGTACTTGGAAGGATGCTGTTTTCACGTCCAGTTACTCAAAATGTGAGCTCTCCAGAGGACTGAAAATCAACTCTCGGAGCCCTCTTGATTCTGAAGCGTTCCCTCCCTGCCTTTAGTATGTCATGATATTCAACCTGAAAGTAAGTTTCCTAGTTTAGTTCCTTGGCATTGTATGGTGTGGGGAGAGGAGAGGGGATCACTCACACAAAGAGGATGACGCCTGTGTTCCTCATGGCGTAAGCCAGGCCCAGGATCCCACTCCCCATGATGGCGTTGCTTAGGTTAAAGACTGACATCCCAAACGAAGTCTTTCCCTCAAACTGCAAGCCAGAACAAAAGACACAGAAGCCAGGTCAGAGGAAATGGTCAGATATTATTGTTCTTACGAGGTTTCTTTTCTAGGCAGAACATAACCATTAACCTTTATTTAAGAACCTTTCACTTTAAAATATCAAAGTGGTTTACCATAAAACGAGGTACAATAAAACCAATAGCTACTGCTACATTAATAGTCATCCTTTCAAAACAGAAAATAATATTATGAATACTATAAATAAACAAATAAGAAAGCAAAACAAATTATTACATATCTGGAAACTAACACAAAAAGGAAATAGCATGAGACAATGTTTGGGCTGGTAGGATCATAGGTGGGTCTATGGGAAACAGTTTCAGTAGGTGAGAAGATCCTGGAAGGCAACTAGCCGCAAATTTAAAATAAAATACATAAATATAAGTAGCACAAGGATTTAACGGGGGCTGTGCAAGCACCAGTCTTCCAAGTGTTTGCAATACATCTTCCAAATTTTTTTATCACTGGCCATGTTGGATGGTGTTGGGGGAACTGTAGATCAAACCAGCTGAAATATCAACATTTGATTAAGAGTGTGAGAAGTTGAAACATCTACTCAGTCCAGAAGGCACCCAAAAGAAAAGGTGACACATAAGAGGAAGGATTAAAAAAATATTATTAAATATTTTTAAAAGAACATAAACAAAACAATTCTGGAAACAAAAAAGGATTAATGCTGAGAAAAAATATAAGCCGCAACCCACCCACTGGAAAGGATTAAAAAGACAAAAGAATAAATAAACATTTGACTTCCAACTCTTCTGATTTGTGTGTGTGTGTGTCAGGAGCGACTTGAGAAATTGCAAGTCGCTTCTGGTGTGAGAGAATTGACTGTCTGCAAGGACGTTGCCCAGGGGATGCCCAGATGTTTTGATGTTTTACCATTTTTGTGGGAGGCTTCTCTCATGTATCCCTGCATGGGGAGCTGGAGCTGACAGAGGGAGCTCATCCGCGCTCTCCCCGGATTTGAACCTCGAACTTGTCGGTCTTTAGTCCTGCCGGCACAAGGGTTTAACCCATTGCGCCATCGGGGGCTCCCCATTGATGCAACTCTTCTGATGATGATGATGATTTGAACAGAATTAAGTCAATGTATTCTTCGACATTATCTTACTCTTAAAAACTTCTACCACTCAGTCTTAAGTCAATTAGTCTGATAATGATCCAAGTTCATAATGAATCAGTTATTATCAGTTTTTGCAAAATAAGTAAGAAAGGCAGGCAGGCAGTCCTCAGAGTCCTTTGAAGAAGACACCAAGTGCTTTTTCTTAAATCAAAGCTGTTAGCTTGTCCATTTCAGCCAAATCCACCAGTTTAACAGCAACTTAGTTGGTGTTGGCATAGTTGTATTCTTAAACCAGTGGAAGGAATTTGAGAGATGAGGTGTGGAAGGATAGCAGATCTGAAGACAGATTGGATGGAAAAACTGATTTTTCCTGCTTCTCTTATTTTCAAAACAATACATTGTAGGTCATGAACTTCAGGCAGGTGCTCGTACCATGGATTTTAATGTGCACTGAGTTGTTCTATATACAATACAGAGATGCTGGTACATTTACTCCACTGAGGATGTTCTCAAGTCACCGTCAGTCCCACTTTGGGGGGAAAGGCTTGTCCCTAGATAAGCCGCCCCGAGTCCTTTTAGACAAATGGAGACGGGGTACAAAAATAAAGTTTATATGTTATTATTATAAAGGCAGAATGGAACTGAAGTGACAGACAGGTAGATGTAGGCCAGCATAGTGATAGGATTAAGTGGCTGAACCTCTATACTGGTATGGAGCAATGTTGACCCTCCAGATGTTTCAGACCACAATCGCTTACCACTTGACATGCTGGGCTGGAGCATGAAACGAGTGAAGACCACAACATCTGCAAAGCCAGAAGTTCCCAACCTCTGTTCTATAGCAAGAGGTGGCCTTGCTGCCTGGGTGGTCTAGGGAACCGTAGTCCTCAGACCACCCACTAACATGCTCCAGGTCTGTCTCCCTTCGGCTTATTCATGTTTAATAATGTCATAGTAACAACACCAGTAGGAAATGATAAAGAAGCAGAGGAGCAACAATAAAATAATAATAATGCAATGGTGGTGTCTTTAAAAGAACATGAAGAGGCATAAGCATGGCAAGAGTGAAAATGGTAGCGTGCCACAAACCATATCACAACCATTATCTGATAGGCCCTTGTCACAACACTTTACTCTATTGTCACAATTATAACCACAACAGAAGAAGGATTTAAATGGATTTTCCAATATACAAAACATAGGACATCTCGTTAGGGTACGCAGATCTCGGGGCCTAATCGCCCTTCTCTGGAGTCCCCGGTGGCACAATGGGTTAAGCCCTTGTGCCGGCAGGATTGAAGACCGACAGGTTGCAGGTTCGAATCCGAGGAGAGCGTGGATGAGCTCCCTCTTTCAGCTCCAGCTCCCCATGCAGCGACATGAGAGAAGCCTCCCACAAGGATGGTAAAACATCAAAAAACATCTGGGCGTCCACTGGGCAATGTCCTTGCAGACGACCAATTCTCTCATACCAGAGGCGACTTGCAGTTTCTCAAGTCGCTCCTGACACGAACAAAAATGCCCTTCTCTGGTCCTCAGGCCAAAGAAGAGGAATCACAGGGCAAGAGCACTACACTGAAAGTTGTGCGTGTGTGTTTCCTTATTTGTTACACATAATAATATAATATAAGCCAAGGCATCTAATTTTACCACAAACAACAGGGAAAATTTATTGATTCAAGTATAAAACGAGGGTGGGAAATGCAGCAGCTACTGGTAAATTTCAAAAATAAAAATAGATACCAATAAAATTACATTAATTGAGGGATCAGTAGGTTAAATGTTTTTGAATGCTTACATAAAACTGTAATTTAAGATATTACTGTCCAACTCTGATTACCTATATACTCGAGTATAAGCCAACCCGAATATAAGACGACTAGGACCCTCACTCAAGTATAAGATGAGGGTGGCGTTTTCAACTCAAAAAAAGGGCTGGAAAACTTGGCTTATACTCGAGTATATACGGTAATATGCTCAATGGCATCACAAGGAGTTCTCTTTAGGTCTCAAGTTTTGATTCTGAAATCCCAGGACCTGGAGATACTCCTAACCTGGGAAGCCTACAAGTGGTGCAGGGAAAAGGCTCCAGTCCTGCTTCTTGTGTCCTGCTTCTTGTGTGAAAGAAGCAGATAATAAATATGCATTTGTTGTACTAAACTGAACTATTACCACAGAATTAAGTAAATCCAGATTCATTAATCTAAAGTATGTAAATGCAAACAGATACACATATCCACAGTAATAAAATAAACCAAAGAATAAGATTTCATGGAGAAACAGGGAGAAGTAAAAAGGAAAGAGTAAATAAAGAAACAAAGGAATGATCTCTGAACAAAATCAAATATAGGAATCCCAGAAAAGGGAAGGGAGAGCTGGCACACTCTATCAAGACAATTGTGTTTGGTAGCCTTTGCTACCTAACACATCGGATCTGAAGTAGAATTGTAGTGCTTTAAATGGTTAGGGAGAAGGACCCTGTGTGATCTTCCTGGTTGTGTACTTCAGCTCTTAAACCGCAAAGAGTCAAAAGCACTGGCAGAAGTGTGGACGAAAGAGGGTAAAGGTGAAAAGGCTGCAGTATCAGTTGGCCCTTTCAGGTCTCTCTGCCAATAAAAGTTTAGAATACAAATCCTATATATAGTCAGGAAAAGGTTATGAACTCAAGCAAATCCATTAGAGGCCAAAGAATCAGATCTCCTGCATTCTAGCCTCTGAAGCCAGGGAGTCGGGATTCGTATTCTACCCAGGGTGAAGCGGGGTTATTTGGCCTTGGCCCCAATCACCTACGTCAGTGAACTGGCTCAGTTTCTTGCTGTCAATGTGGGGCAGGAACTCCTCTTGCTCAGGCAAACCATGCTCCTCATCCTCGTAGCTGAAAGGGAAGGAGACACACAATTAGCACGTTGGACCAAGCCCTAATGATATGGCTGTTCATATCCGGCAACAACTACAAAAGTCCCCACGCCCAGAGAACAACCACGTGGCTCCATCATGTAAAGGCATTCATTTTGCTATCAATTCAGGTGCTGTGTCCCAAACTCAGAATTTGAAATTTGAGAGAAACAGAGAGAGCAACCTGAAAAGGAGACAAAGAAACTGGAGTTGTGGGTAAAAGGTAAAGGTAAAAGTTTCCCCTGACATTAAGTCTAGTCGTGTCCAACTCTAGGAGGTGGTGCTCATCTCCATTTCTAAGCCAGCATTGTCCATAGATGCCTCCAAAGTCATGTGGCCAGCATGATTGCATGGAATGCCGTTACCTTTCTGCAGAAGTGGTACCTATTTATCTACTCACATTTGCATGTTTTCTAACTGCTAGGTTGGCGGAAGCTGGGCTTAAAAGCAGGAGCTCATCCCGCTCCCTGGATCTGAACCACCAACCTTTCGGTCAGCAAGTTCAGCAGCTCAGTGGTTTAACCCGCTGCACCATCAGGGGGCCTGGAGTTGTGGATAGGTATGCAAAAATGGCAGGAGCCAGTGTGGCGTTGTGTTTTGAGCATTGGACTACAACTCTGGAGATGAAAACAAGACAAAAGTATACACTGGAGTTGTAGATATCTATGCACGAATATCAGGAGCTAGTGTGGTGTAATGATTAGAGCACAGGAGTATGATTCTGGAGATAAGTGTTCAAATCCCTGCTTAGCCATAAACCGCACTGAGTGACTTTGGGCAAGCCACGCTCTCTGTCTCAGAGAAACAAAACGGCAAACCCCTTCCCTAAACAAATCTTTCCAGGAAAATCCTGTGCACAGATTTGCCTTAGGGTCACCATAGGTCAGAAATGACTGGAAAGCACACAATAACAACACAGAAGTAAGGCAGATATATCACAGGGCAGAGACTTATGTCAACCCAGTGACTGGACAAAAGAATCTTTCTGTTTATGTGATGTCAAAGTATTTCTCTACAACTCTTCAACTCCAAGGGTGAATAGGCACAAGGATGAACTAAACAAAACCCAAAGGGCAGACTCAAAGGGGAATTTCAAAAGAAATCTTCCTGAAATATTTCAGCAAAATTTTGCAATCTGGACATTCCGGTAATGTTTTTGAAACACCTGCATTGTGGCTCTGAAAGTAATTGCGGATGTGGTGAATGCAGTTAGGAAACTTTGCTTCCAATGTAAATACAAAGAGGGCAATGGCTGCAGCAACTGTTTTATCATTAGTAAACACAATCTTGTGTGCACTGCATGATTAGCACCACTCAGTTTTATTCAGCAAAGGAAATTGATTAATTAACAATGAAAAACTTTCCTTTTATATCAGACTTCTAGCTTGCTACTCCCTAACTAGCCACAGATTTTAATCAGTTTCCCTTTTCTGGCTTGTTAAGTGATCAACAAAGCAGGATTATAATTCAAGTATCTTATTCTCCAACAAGAATTTGACTAAAAGTGGAGCCTCCCCTTCTACCTTCAGGTTGAGCATCCCTTATCCCAAATGTTTGAGACCAGGAGTTTGTTGGATTTTTATTTTTAAATACCCACATGTGCATATACATGCATAATTTTGTTAATGTCTTTGTCTAATTTCACAAACTGCACAACTGAAGGTGATTCTGTGTTCATTGCCATCAGCAAGGTGGATTGCTAAAAACAAAAGTGAGTTTGTGACCTCCCAAAACATATCAATGCCCATGAAATGTCACCAGAAGTTATTTCAAAATCTCAAGGCAGAAAGAGAAGCTAGGCTTCTTGCAGTTCCCTTGTTTCTGTGCTCCTTCAGTTCTTAATTAAGAAAATAAAAATACTCCATTCAACTAGAACATCTGCCACGAATTTTCACATCCCATCAAGCAATTTGAGGCTTTGCAACTTTGATACAAATATGGTGTTCAATTGTGCAAAATAGTGCATCCTAAGAAAAAAACAAACCAACCAACCAACCAAATAATGGCTTTTGACAGTGTTTCTTGATTTCTTACATTGCTTATCATAGAATCATAGAATAGGAAGAGACCTTGCGGGCCATCCAGTCTAACCCCTTACCAAGAAGCAGGAAATTGCATTCAAAGTACCCCCCAACAGATGGCCATCCATCCTCTGCTTAAAAGCCTCCAAAGAAGGAGCCTCCGCCACACTCCAGGGCAGAGAGTTCCAGTGCTGAACAGTTCTCACAGTTAGGAAGTTCTTCCTCGTGTTCAGTTGGAATCTCCTTTCTTGTAGTTTGAAGCCATTGTTCCGCATCCTAGTCTCCAGGGCAGCAGAAAACAAGCTTGCTCCCTCCTCCCTATGACTTCCCCTCACATATGTATACATGGCCATCATGTCTCCTCTCAGCCTTCTCTTCTGCAGGCAAAACATGCCCAACATGCTTGTTACTTTTCTTTTTAAGAGAAAATCCACTCAAAAAACAAAAAGTTTTTTAAAATATCCCCCCCCCCCAAATGTCCCCAAAGTAAGAATGAGTAAAGTGTAAACATCATGTGATATTGTTTTTGAAGGGTAATGCTATTAAAGTTTGTAATGTTAAATTCTCAGAAAACTCACTATGCCCTGCTGCCCTCGCCCCTCCTCCCAATCAGTCGTGCCTGTTACTGTACCATATCATTTTCAAGCATTAATTGGGCTGTGCCTTATTGGGCAGAGGTGAAAGAAAGCATTTCACAGCGTATCAGTAAGTATAATAATAAGCATGTAAATTCAAATTTGGTTGTGAAAGTTTGTGGTTTCTTGCTGGCAGAAAGAAGCTATTAAGATTTTGTGGATGTTGCTTGTAACTACTAATATGTGTACTTTCTTGCTATCTCTTCAAACAATGTTGTTGTAAACAAGCAGCTGTTTACAAAAGGTACAATTTGTTTTCCCTCTTATCAAGCAAACTCATCTCATCAAAGCAAGTCCTAAAGATTAATCTATTTTTTACATTCATACCTTGCCTTTCCTCCAGTAAGCTTGAGATGACAAACCCAAGTCTCTATATTCCTATTTTGTCTTCCTAGCAACCTTGTGAAACAGCTCAGGCTAAGAAAGTTCAACCAAACTAAGTTTTCCCCAGTGAGCCTCATTTATTGGAGACTTGGTCTCAATTTCAATCACTGCCCAAATCCCACCTCTTTGTGGAACACCCTGAAATAAATTCCTGGCTCCCATCCTGTTGTCCCACCCACTTCAATTATCATACGAAAGCTGGCTGTCACAACCTGGGGATCACAACCAGACACAATGAAGACATCTGCCCTTGCGCTATGCTACTCTGCTGCTGAGTATGCATGCCCAGTGTGGAACACATCTCACCACGCTAAAACGGTGGATGTGGCTCTTAATGAGACATGCCGCATTATCACGGGGTGTCTGCGCCCTACACTACTGGAGAAACTACACTGTCTAGCCGGTATTGCACCACTTGACATCCACCAGGAAGTAGCAGCCAATAGTGAAAGGACCAAGGCAGTGACATCTCCAGCTCATCCCCTGTTTGGGTATCAGCAAGCACGTCAACGACTTAAATCAAGAAATAGTTTTCTAAGATCTACAGAGACACTCGCTGAAACACCCCAGCAAGTGAGAGTCCAAACGTGGCAGGCTCAAACCCAGAACCTCAATCAATGGCTGATTCCAAATGAGAGACTCCCTCCTGGGCACACAGAAAACTGGGTGACTTGGAAGGCGCTGAACAGACTGCGCTCTGGCACAGAGAGATGCAGAGCCAACCTTAAGAAATGGGGCTACAAAGTGGAATCCACGACATGCGAGTGTGGAGAAGAGCAAACCACTGACCACCTGCTGCAATGCAACCTGAGCCCTGCTACATGCAAAATGGAGGACCTTCTTGCAGCAACACCAGATACTGGTCAAAGGACATTTAATCAACTACCAAACTTGCAAACTTTGTGTTTTGTCTGTTTGTTTGTTTGTTTTGTTAAAAATGTAATACAACTGTCTGGTTGCTCCTGACACGATAAATAAATAAATAATCCACTTCAATTGAACCAGGTCTTTTTTCTCATGCTGGTCCTCCCTTCACCTCCTTTTTCATCACAATTACCCCCAAAGACTCACCCATCCTCCAAGACAGCCATTTTGTCATTGTCAGGTATGGTCCCATTGAGCCTCTCCGTGCCCATGTCATCTCCCATCTTCTGAAGCTCCATCCTGGATGTGCAGATAATCCTCGGTTGGTTGAGGTGTGTTTGTGTGTAGTGTTGTCCGGAAGAGATTGGGGTCAATCACCAAGTGGAAAAAGAACAGCAGCAAGAGTAACGCACCTGGATCAAAAGAGCACCTGGAGACATGGGAGAAGAGAAATTCAGAAAACCATGTGCTGTAATATTTGCAGCGGCTGCCGGAAGGGTTGGGACAGGGTGGTTCTTGGAACCAAAATACCTGCGAACTGGGTGTGTATGGGTAGCAGGGCAGGGGTGGGGGTATTGCCAGGAAACCCATTATCCCTTTTCATTTCATTTTCTGCACAGCAAGGAACACATCGTGATTCCAACCCCGCGCCTGAGGGAGAGTCTGTCCCAACAAAAGGTGGGTGAGGAAGGATGTTACCCAGCTCCCCTCCCACCCACACCTTCAGGCACAATCTGGCAGGCTGCCCTGTCTAGCATTTCCACACATCCTCATTTGTTCGTGTACGTGAGGCAGAGGTGCCAATCTGCCAGACTCATTTTGAATCAGCTTCTTTCCTTCTTTTAGCCTTAAATTCGTATCATTAATTTGTGTTGCCCATTACTGGCTTTCATTTTAAAAAATCGAATGGAAGTGTACATTAACTTTTTATCAATTTGTTGATGTCTCAACTAGCATACTGTTTTGCAAACAATTTCACCTTATAACATTGAGGATTTTCTACATTCATTGTTGATATATTTTGTGTGTGTGTGTGTGTGTGGATGTGTCAGGAACGACTTGAGAAACTGCAAGTCGCTTCTAGTGTGAGAGAATTGGCCGTCTGCAAGGATATTACCCAGGAGACGCCTGGATGTTTGAAGTTTTACCATCCTTGTAGGACGCTTCTCTCATGTCCCCGCATGGGAAGCTGGAGCTGACGGAGGGAGCTCAACTTGCCCTCTCCGGATTCGAACCTCTGACCTGTCAGCAGTCCTGCTGGCACAAGGGTTTAACCCATTGTGCCACCTGAGGCTATTGTTGATATTAATTGCCATCAAGTTGACTTCAATGTCTTGAGACCTTATGAATGACAGACCTTCCATTCACTCTACCATCTTACAGAATTGGCTTCTCTAATTGATTTTATGTATCTTAAATGTGGTCTTTCCCTTTTCCTACTGGTCTCCACTCTTCAGTAATGTAATGGGCACATTTTTGTGCAGAGTTGCTTTTAATGTTGTTGTTTCATTTTTTGCCAATTTTGAAAGTCTTTGTGCTTCTTGTGTAACCACTGACATGAGACTGATTTCTGATCCCACCAAATGTGCCCAAACCTCTTGGGCTGAAAATCTAATAAATTAGCTACAATATCCTAGGGTAGCTTCTTCTACGTGTACTTCCACAGTCTAGTACCCATAAAAGGAGATTTCAGGAAAGAAAGAAATAACTGGACACAAATATGGCACACAAATAGGACCGGGGGGGGGGGGGGGGGTTCCCAGTCCTACTAATAAGACAGTTTGAGATACAGAGTCCTAAATCATTCTTCACCCCAAGGGATGGGGGAGGCACAAAAGAACGTGTATATTTTTCCCAACCCCACCCATTTTCCTGTTTTTCACCTTAGAAAGACTTATGCCTTTTACCATCACATTCAATAGGAAAAGCACAAGCCATTTCTGCACATGAGGTACTGTTGTTGTTGCTGTATGCCTTCAAGTCATTTCTAATCTACTGTGTCCCTATCACATGGTTTTCCTGGCAAGATTTATTGAGAGAGTGAACAAAATCTGGCTACCAGTATTTTTTTTTTAAATACCTCTAACATCAGGACAATAAATAAAGAGCAACACTCAAAAACTAGGGGAATTCCAGACAAGAATCAATGAGGGCCAGCTAACACCTCCCAACAAATAATAAAAAACTTTATTTAATACCCCGCCACCATCTCCCCAACGGGGACTCAGGGCGGCTTACACAAGGCCAAGCACAACAGCATATTACAATAAAATAAAAACCAAAACACAGTAACAACACAGTAAAATACATACAACATATGAATACAAAAAATGATATAAAATGCAAAACAAAATCATACGCAGTAAAATAACAATGAGATAAAATACTAATACTAAAAAATTCAATCAGAGTGAGATAGGAATTGAGAAGTTTGTTTGTGAGGGAGAAACTCATACAGAAACGGGGTCGTAAAAATAGACCTTCATATAGGTGGATTCCCTCAGGCAGCAACCAGTCAGGTTTTGATGCTGCAAGGCCATTCAATGCTAATCAAGGTAACCAATTGCAGAATTTACATTTTCCTCAAGCAGATAAAAGTTCTTTCTCACATCCTGGACATTCCACAGATATATAATCCTCACCTGCATAATTTCCAACAGACCTCACAACCTCTGAGGATGCCTGCCATAGATGTGGGTGAAATGTTAAGAAAAAATGCTTCTGGAACATGGCCATACAGCCCAGAAAACTCACAGCAACCCAACTATTCAGAAAGTGTTTGCCATTGCCTTCCTCTAAGGCTGACAGAGTATAATTTGCCCAATATCACACAGCTGGTTTCATGGCTGTGTGGGATCACCAAGGTCATGGTCCATTGTTCAAACCGCTATACCAGTGGTTCTTAACCTGTGGGTCCCCAGATGTTTTGGCCTTCAATTCCCAGAAATCCTAACAGCTGGTAAACTGGCTGGGATTTCTGGGAGTTGTAGGCCAAAACACCTTGGGACCCACAGGTTGAGAACCATTGCACTATACCATGCTGGTCCTTACATGACAAATAAAAATCCAAAAGGATAAAGTTCCAGTCGAAAACATGACAAATCCACAGTCTCGCCATTATTTTCTATTTACTCAAATAACTGATGGAGGGTTAAATCCTCCCTTCCGCCTTCTCAATGAAGCCCCACCCCACCTAATATTTGCAATGGGAGGAAAGCTGGTCTCAGTACTAACTGAGCCATTTCTCGTTCTAGAAAGCCTAACAACTCCTGTTCTGATACTTAAGGGGATTCTGGAATAAAGAAATTCAAGGGTTAATCCTGCCGCCTACACCTGGGAAAGAAATCTGGAGGCTGGGTGCGGCAGCAAAAAATGGGAAGAGAGATGTCTGGTTGGTGTCTTGATCTTCAACCGCATCCTTTGCTCAAAGTCATGTTCCCACAGAAAGTGCAGAACACCTGCCAGGGACAGATTGGTTTTTGGCCCAGATCTGTCAGGAGCAGAGGACCCAACCGGCTTGGGGAAAGTGAGCTGGTGAGCCAAGATTTCTTGGTTTCTGCTTCAAACTCAGGGAGGTGGGATACAGCTCTTTGGCTGTATCGGCCTACAATCTCCATCAGCTCCAACTCAGCACTACCAACTGTAAGGAATGATAGAAGATGTGGTCTAAACCCTATGGAGGACTAAATGTTTCTCCATGTTGTACTTTAGGAAGGTGGCAGATAGTAAAAGCAAAAAAGATAAGAAGTATTTCTGGACTTTTGAAAATTTACTTTGCAAGATAAATGAACACCTCTCCCTTCCTTCTGCCTGTTGTTTTCTACCTTGTCACCTGTAATTCCAAAATCCCTTCCTGAAACACAGCTGGATGGTTGTTATTTTATCTAGAGAGCATTTCCAGCAGCTGGGATCCAGGCAAAAGGTGGTGCCAGTTTTCTGATATTGCTACTGCTGTGTTTAGACTGGGAAGCTGCCCACAAGAACCGTGTTCCCAGGGCACTGCAAGACCATGAAATGACAAGACCCAGGAATCTGAACTCCTACCCGCTCTCCTTCTCAGCATCCTTCAATGATATTACCTTTATGCAATGAGAGAGACATGTTCTAAGTTTGCCTGGTGGTTAAGTGTCATGGCCATCTGGGTCAGTGGTTCTCAATCTGTGGGTCCCCAGATGTTTTGGCCTTCAACTCCCAGAAATCCCAACAGCTGGTAAACTGGCTGGGATTTCTGGGACTTGCAGGCCAAAACTTCTGGGGACCCACAGGTTGAGAACCACTGATCTGGTCAAACTTAAACCAGAGGCAATGAGACAGGTAGTACATCTGGTTCATGATTCAATTTGAACTTTGAAAGTCCAACTCAAAGCGAAGGCATTTTGGAGGATGGCTCATCTAAAGTTTACACTAAAGTCTGGAGCATACTCATTACCACCACTTTTTTTTCCGTGTCCGGAGAAACTTGAGAAACTGTAGTGGAATATTTCTTCTTTTTTTCAAAGCAGAGACTGGATGGATATCCATCCGGACTGCTTTAATTGTCTGTTCTTCCATGGCAGGTGGTTGGATTGGGTGGCCCTTGGAGGCTCTTAAAATTCCATGTTTCCGAACAAAAAGTCCCAGTACTTCAATCTGGTATGTTGTTTCCACTACACTACTGTCCATAAATTTAAAATCACTGTAGAGTTTACAATAACCACAATTAAACAAGAGAGGCAGTATGCAGGGTTATGAACCACCTCCCATGTGTCGTCTTCACAAATTTAGGAAAATAATATTTTTGGACCACTACTACCAGATGCCAGGGCCCCCTGGTGGTGCAGTGGGTTAAACTGCTGAGCTGCTGAACTTGGGTGACCAAAAGGTTGGCGGTTTGAATCTAAGGAGTGGGGTGAGCTCCAGCTGTTAGCCCCAGCTTCTACCAACCTAGCAGTTCAAAAACATACACATTAGAATAGATCAATAGGTACCGCTTATGCGGGACGGTAACGGCACTCCATGTAGTCAAGCTGGCCACATGACCTTGGAGGTGTCTACAGACAACGTCAGCTCTTTGGCTTAGAAATGGAGATGAGCACCACCCCCCAGAGTGGGACACAACTAGACTTAATGTCAGGGGAAACCTTTACCTTACTACCAGATGCCAGAAAGGTCAGTGGAATTATTCAAATCACTGACTGGATAATAATTTATTGGATTAATTTCAAAGTGATTGGAATTATCCAACTCCCAACACAAATGAAAGGCTTTAATCCTATTCCAATAGCCAGAAATACTGCAGTGACCACAAGTCCTTGAAAGGCACACCTGGCAGCATCACTATGTTCACGGTGCACTAAAGTATTGGTCTGAAAGATAGAAAAAGTAACTAAGACTTTGACTATCATCATAGTCCACCATAGATAAGGCTGCCATGCTTAAAGGGAAATGAGA